TATTAGAATGATTTCTGAAGGATCATGTGATACTAAAGACTGGAGAATGACTGCTAAAAATTCAGCTTTGCATCACAGGGAAAAAAATAAATTTTAAAATGTATTAAAATAGAATAATTTCAATTGTAATAATATTTCACAATATTACTGTTTTTAGATCAAGTAAATGCAGCCTTGTTGAGGATAAGAAACTTCTCCAAAAAATAAGAAATGTTACTGACCCTAATCTTATGAACAGTATTGTATGCCATAACAGGTGATTTGAATTGATTAAAACAAATAAAACATTTAATTGAAATGTATGTATATATCTGTTAAGTATGTTGCTGTAGTTAACAGGTTTATAATATGAAGGGATATTAAACTGAAAGCAGCAGTCGAACCATAATCGACCTTTAGCGAAAAAAATCTGATTAGAGGGAACAAAAGCTCACAAGCCTACACATTCCACAGTCATATTCTGTGTGACACACAATTTTTTGAGTAGGGTTTCAGATTGGGCTTCAAGTTTAGCTGTGACTGTTTTGACTTTTTTTATAGAATGCAGCTCACTGCCTCATGAACCTAAATGCTGTTGTGCTTTAATATATTTGCAGTGACTCACTCATTACAGTGACTCGTCTGTTATATCTATATTGTAAGGAGTTGATATCACTTGTCTCATTTGAAAGCGGAGTTAATATTTTAAAATGAAAACATTAATCAGCAGTTTTAAATTGCTCACAATAAACCTTTTAAAGTATAATCTTCGAAAATGTTTACTAAGAGATATAGTTCAAGTTGATACAAGTGTGATTGTAGTGCTGTTTTGCTTGGTTTGTGGTGCTTTTGTAATTCACTCATGTGCAGTGACTGTGAAACTGTAAGAGTGTAAATGATTCATGTCAATGCTTCTTTTATACTGATATGTGATGAAGCACTGTCTATCAGCACATGTATGCTAACATATTAGCACTTCTATTGGCAGTCGGACTGATTTATCATCATTGGCTTGCACCTGTTTGGCCAAACAGCAGCGTCACTGTGATTGGTTGCGATCATTGTTTTCTTAATACAGTGATTAGGGCAGTTCATGCTTATTTCTGGAGCATCTTTTGTTGTTATTTAATATACAGACGTGCTAGAAAGTGTCAGAGATGTTGTGTACCTGCTTTGTAATTAAATTGTTACAGTGCAGGAGAACAAGGTAATTGCTTGTTTATCTCTAAGCTTTGTAAGTGGTGAAATAACAAATTTATCATTCTCAGGTTAAATAACGTGTTGTGGAGTCAGTGGCTTTTAGTGTTTATATATCTTAACATGTTATTTTACCCAAAAATATGTGCAATTTTTGAGCACTACTGCAGTTCCAATAAAAATTGTTTACTCAGAGTTGGTTCTCAGATTTATTGAACATTTTCCGTGTCTGTTTCCATTTATTTTATTATTATTATTATTATTATTATTATTATTATTATT